GGGGTGATTTCTCGCTTTCTGTCTCTATGTCTCTCTCTGTCTGGCGAGCGCACGTGCCCTATAGTGAAAAAAAAAAAAAAAAGAATCCGACCAGCAGATGGCGTAATGGCTATGCCTCTGGACTCCCATGTAGTCTACCGTGGTTCAAGCCCTGGATCTGGTGGCTTAAACTCACGCTAGGTGTGTGTGCGTGCGTGCCCAAGATCCCAAGAGAATGGAGGAGAAGAGATTGTGGCGTGGCCATCCCCCCTGGGGGGTGATTTCTCACTTTCTGTCTCTCTCTGTCTTTGTGGCGAGTGCACACACCCTTTAACAAAAACTTCACCAAAAAAGAAAAAATATGAATGAATAAATAAAGTTAATAATTCTAAAAAAAATTAATTTGGGGGTCTGGCAGGTGGTGTGGTGGTTAAAGGTGCTGGACTCCCACATGGCCAACTGTGGTTCGAGTCCTGGACCTGGTGGCTTGCTTTCTCTTCTCTCTCTCTCTCTTTCTCTCTGGTCAAATTAAAGAATAATAATAAAATTGTTTAAAAAAATTGTTTAAAGAATTTTTAATTAAATGTATTTTTATTATTTTTTAATTTGACCAGAGAGGGAAAGTGAGAAAGCAAGCTGCCAGGTCTGGGACTTGAACTACAGTTGGCCGTGTGGGAATCCAGCGGCCCCAGCTTTTTGTTTTTATCGTTTTAAATCGCCAGAGGGTGCCTGTGCTTACAAGGGAAGGAGTGATAGGGAGAGCGCACCCCCAGTGGGGCGAGGTCACCCCACAGCCCCGTCTCCAATTCTTCCTGCACAGGCCTGTGGTGGTTTTCAGACTGCCGGCTCTCAGCTTCCAGCCACTTGGCCGCGTTCACTCTGGCTCCCTGGGCTGCTGGGCCACAGGGCCAGCCCCACAAGACTGAAGCCTGCAGGGTCTGCAGTGTAGCCGCAGCCGCCGGGGCTCCGTCCTCCCGGGGCTCCGTCCTCATGAGCTGCTCTTGCCTGGCCGTGGAGAGCGGATCGGCCGTTTCATTTGGCTGACAGGGCATGCAGGGGCTTGATGTGGGTGCCAGAGATACAACTGGGTTCTCTGTCACCTGGTCATCGACCTCGAGTCGGTCTCTTCGTGAAGAAGCAATAGGGCAGGGACCAGCAGTTAGCATAATGGCTGTGTCGCTGGACTCCCATGTAGCTGGCCGTGGTTAAGAGTCCGGGACTCGGTGGCTTAAACTCACCTGGCACGTGTGTGCGCGCCCAAGATCCCGAAAGAATGGAGGAGAAGGGATTGCGGCGTGGCCATCCCCCCTGAGGGGTGATTTCTCGCTTTCTCTCTCTCTGTCTGTCTCTGTCTGTCTGGCCAGCGCACGCGCCCTATAGCAAAACCTCTCCCCCCCAAAAAATAAATAAAGATTAAAAAAAAAAAAGCAACCGGGCATGTGTGGGTCGTCCGCAGGGGGGACGAGGGGGGTGTGAGCCACTGATGAAGTGGCTCAGGTCTCAGCCCCTGCCCTCACACTGGGGGCTCCCAAGGAACCCCTCGGCCCCTCCTGATCGCTACCCCACCTCAGACGCCTGCCTCCCACACCCGGGGCCAGTGCTTCCCACCCGCCAGGGTCAGCGCTCTGGGGCTCCCCCGTCCTGTCCCCACATGCCACCGTCCACGCCCCACTTCCTCCCCCTCTACCCTCGGCCTGGCTCACCTCTGCCCTTTAACAGCATCTTCCCAGCTTCTACAGCCACCCTCGTCTGACCCCATGGTGGGGTCTCTGACACCAGCGTCACCCCACACCCTAGCACACAGGACCGAGAGCCCGCCCAGACACAGTCCTCGCCCTCAACCTCGCCCACAGCTCACCCTTCTGCCGCTCTTTCCGCTGGCGCCCTCCCAGCGTCCGCCCTGCCCCGCCCTGCCCTGCCCTCCCTCCTGGACCTTCACCCAGGTGCGCAGCTTCTGGTCTGAGCCGCGAGAGCACCTGGTGGAGCGGGACTGTCAGCCTCTCGCATCTGCCCCGACGTGGAGGAAGCGGCCTCCCCAGCCTAGGGGTCCTTTCTCCTAGTTACAGAGCATGCGTGCTTGCTGGAGGGGGAAGTGCTACAATCCCTTCTCCAAATCGCCTCCCAGGATCTTGGGTGCACACACGCACACACACATATGTGCCCCATGTGATTTTCAGGCTGGGTCCAGGACTCGAACTGCAGTCTGCTGTGTGGGATCTAGGCTACCCGCTGGTCCTCGGGTGTTCCTGCTGGCAAACGGCCTCTCAAAATGTCAAACTTACTTGAGGGCCAGCAGGTGGCATGGTGTCAAGGCACTGGACTCCTACACGGCTGGCTGCGGTTGAGTCCCAAATCTGGTGGCTTGAAAAACCGCACTGGGCTTGTGTGTGCATGCCCAAACTCCTGGGAAGCGAACGGAGGAGAAGGGATTGTGGTGTGGCCACCCGCTCTGGAGAACAACTGCGCACTTTCCTTTGTCTGTCTGCTGTGAGTGCACACATTCTATGGCAAAAGCCTTTAAAAAAAAAAACAAAAAAACTCACTTTAGGATTTTGTAATTCTGGGACCAGCAGATGGCATAGTGGTTACATTGCTGAACTCCCATGTAGTTGAATATGGTTTGAGTCCCAGACCTGGTGGCTTAAAATTACTGCTGGGCGGGAACCAGCGGTTCGCGTAATGGCTACTGTGCATGTAGTTGACTGTGGTTCGCGTCCCGGACCCGGTGGCTCGAAACTCACGCCGGGCGCATGTGCGTGCGTGCCCAAGATCCCGAGAGAATGGAGGAGAAGGGATTGCGGCGTGACCATCCCCTCTGGGGGGTGATTTCTCGCTTTCTGTCTCTATGTCTCTGTCTGTCTGGTGAGCGCACGCACCCTATAGTGAAAACCTCTCAAAAAAAAAAAAATTCCCACTGGGCATGCGCATGTGCACTCCCAAAATGCTGAAAGGAGAATGGAGGAGAAGAGATTGTGGCATGGCCATTCCACCTGGGGGTGATTTCTCACTTTCTGTCTCTCTGGTGAGCCCATGGACCCTATAGCAAAAATCTCTGTTAAAAAAAAAAAAAATTGTGGGCCAGCAGGTGGCATGGCGGTTAAGGTGCTGGACGTTCCCACGTGGCCAACCGTGGTTTGAGTCCTAGACCTGGTGGCTTGCTTTCTCACTTTTTCTTTCTCCCTCTCTGTATCTATCACTAACGAATTAAAATAAATAAATGAATAAATAAAATTAAATACATAATTCTTTTTAGAAATCGTGATTCTGGCTGGGCCTGTAGCCCAGTGGTCAAGGGAGCTAGATTCCAAATGGCTGGTCTGGTCCTGTCAGTTTGAGGTGTGTACTGGGTGTGCGTGCATGCCCATGATCCCAATCGGTTGAAGACAGAAAGGATTGCAGCATGACCTTGCCCCGCTGGGGGGTGCCTCTCTTTCCTTCTCTCTGTCCCCCTCTCTCCCTCTCTCTCTTCGTTTTTGCTATAGGGCACATGTGCTCACCAGAAAGACAGAGAAAAGCAGAGAGACGGAAAATGAGAAATCACCCCTCAGGAGCAATGGCCACGCCTCAATCCCTTCTCCGCCATTCTCCTTTTGGGATCTTGGGCACGCACACGCACCTGGAGTGAGTTTAAGCTGATAGGTCTGGGACTTGAACTGCTGTCGACTACATGGGAGTCCAGTGACATGTAAAATAATTTTATTTTTACATTGATTCATTTCAGTTTGACCAGAGAGAGACAGAGAGAAAGCAAGAAAGCAAGCCACCACGTCTGGGACTCGAATGGTGGTCAGGCATGTGGGCGTGTCACGCCACCTGCTGGTCCCCTTATTATTTTTTTTAAAGAATTATTTAATTAATTAATTTATTTATTTTGGAGAGGTTTTCGCTATAGGGCGTGTGCGCTCGCCAGACAGACAGAGAGAGACATAGAGACAGAAAGTGGGAAATCACCCCCCAGGGGGGATGGTCACACCACAATCCCTTCTCCTTCATTCTCCTTTCAGGATCTTGGGCACGCACGCACAGGTGCCCGGCGTGAGTTTTAAGCCACCGGGTCCGGGACGCGAACCAGTCCAGCAGCATAGCCATTACGCTAACTGCTGGTTCCTCATTCATTTATTTTAATTTGACCAGAGAGAGAGAGTGCAAGAAAGCAAGCCACCAGGTCTAGGACTTGAACCTTGATCAGCCATGTGGGAGTGTCCAGTGCTTTAACCATCATGCCACCTGCTGGTCCCCATCCTGGTTGCATTTCCTTGGGAATGCGGGTGAAAATCCACCCTTGGCTTGGGATCATGTGTGTTCAGACTCTAAACTGACATGCCGAGAAGTGTGCTGGATAAGATCTTTATTGATTGGGAGTAAGGACGTTCATTTTTATGGAGAGTTGCAAGCTCGCTGTGCCCCCCTCTTCCGTAGACACTGGGTCCCTGTTCTCCCGCCCGCAGTCTGATCCAGCTGGGTTGCAGTTGCTCCCTCGGCCAGCAGGTGGCGATGAGGGTTTCACGGTCTCGGGATGTGCCTGGGGGATCCTGTGGCCTGGTTAGGGAGACGTGCCCGGCAGGGGGCACTGTCGTCCTGGCCAAGGTGGGTGGGAAGCCCCGTCCTGCGGTGGTGGGTCCGCGGAAACACTGGCGCCGGGTTTCCCTTCTGCAAATGGAAGTCGGGAGAGGGCCTTCCGTGTGGCGCGTCCCGGGCTGCCTGAGGGCAGGAGGCGGTGGAGGGGTGGAACAGGGTCCTCCTCCTGCCCGGGGCTCCCTGGGCTCCAGGAGCGGGTTCCGACCCTCCGGGCCCACCCGGCCCTGGCCTGCACTTACGGCTGCCTGTCCCAGCCTGTGCCGCTTTCCTCTTTCCTCCTCCAGGCAGTGTCCAGGGTCCAGGTCAGACAGAGAGAGAAAGCGGGGGTCACCAGGGTCCTCCCACGCCTGGCCCCTGGCTCCCCGACCCAGCCAGGTCTGGCCAGCCTCCTGCCCAGAGCCTGTGCGGGCCTCCCTGGGCACCTGCCTCCTGCCCAGAGCCTGGAGGGCCTGCAGGGCGAGGTGCAGGGGTGCCGGGAAGGCGGCTCTGCGTCGGGGAGGGGCGGTTCAGAGGAAGGCCTCGGAAGGGAGGGGGCGGTGGAGAGAGGAGACAGGTTCAAATAGAGAAAGGGAGAGTGGCGGGGAGAGAGGAGAGGAGAGATGGAGACCGGAAGAAAGAAGAGGGTGCAGGGAACACAGGACGGGGTGGCCGGAGGTGGCGGTGGGGTGGCGTCAAGGCGCGGATTCCCATGTGGCCGCTGTGGCCCAGTCCTGGTCCAGCCCAGACCTGGCGCTTTCTCACTTCCTGCTTCTCCTGGGCAGCGCATGTGCCCGGGGACACACTTTAAAATAGCAAAATAGAGACGAGCAGATGGCATGGCGGTACACGGCTGGACTCCCACGTGGTGGCCGACTGCGGTTTGAGTCCTAGACCCGGTGGCCTGGAACTCACCCTGGCTGTGCGTGTGTGTGTGTGTGTGTGTGTGTGTGTGTGTGTGTGTGCGCGCGCGTGCGTGTGCGTGCGTGTGCGCGTGCGCGTGCGTGTGCATGTGTGCGTGCGTGAGACCGGAATCCCGAGAGGAGCGGGGAGGAGAAGGGCTGATTTTTGCTTTCTCCTCTGTCTCTGGCAAACGCACACACTCCATAGCAAAAATCTCTAATAAAAAAAATAAAATAATACAATGAATATGTTTTAAAAACAAAGAAACAAGTGGAGACCCAGAGACTAAGGGGGAGGGAGGGAGGGAGAGCAGGGAGGGGGAGAGACAGGAGGAGAGAGTGGGGCGGGGAGACTTGGGGGAAAGGGAGAGAGGGCCCAAAAAACAGAGTGCGCCCTGGCCAGTGAGCGAGGCCGAGACAGAGAGGGAAAGGGGGGCAGTGCGCAAAGAGCAGGAGACACCCCACCAGGACCCTCAGGGGAGAGGAGGACAGTAAAAGCAAGATGGGGAAGAGGGACAGAGAAGGGCTGGAGGGAGAGCGGAGAGGGGAGAGAGTGAGGAGGGAGAGAGAGCAAGGGGGAGGAGGAGAGAGAGAGGAGGAGGAGGGGGGGAGAGAGGGGAGAAGAGGGAGAGAGCGAGGAGGGGGAGAGAGGAGAGGGAGAGAAGAGGGAGAGAGCAAGGAGAGGGGAGGGCGAAGAGGGAGGGGGGGAGAGAGGAGGGGGAGAGAGCGAGGAGGGGGAGAGAGCAAGGAGGGGGAAGATGAGGAGGGGGGAGAGCAAGGATGGCAGAGAGAGGGTGGGGGGAGAGGGGGG